AAATATGAGCACTCTTAGATAACTGTTTGCTTGTTACCTTTTTCATTATTGGAGACATATCTGTAATGTCATCAAACAGCTAGCTTATTCTTTAAACAGTGGCTTCCAAAGAGTGGCACCATTGAGACAAGAGAAATACACTTCATGCACCTCCCTAAAAGTCCTTGACAACGGAGGAACACGCACAATTTTTAGAAAACATGAGGTACAAACAATCCCATGTTCAACTGGAGAGTTTAAGTCTAGGAATACATCTACAAAGCAAGTTTCTTTTCTTCTACCACAGACCTTTCAATCATGAGAAGCTCGCCTTGGTGGCACCGGCCTGGAATCCCAGCACTTAGGAGGGTGTGGCAGGGGCATCAGCAAGCCAACCTAACCTAAAGAAGACTCTGTCTCTAAGACTGAGAACCAAACAGTGTAGCGTTAGGCACCAAATCAAGGTTGTTCAACAGTAAAAAGCAGAAAGGCACAGACTGCATGGATTCCCACTCTAGGACCAAAGCACGCAGACTACTGTTTACCGCAGATTAGAGGACACTGTGCATTTAGCTTTAAAAAAATAAATAAAATAAAAAAATAAAATAAAAACTGTATTGGAAAAGGAGGAATAGAGGGGGTGGGGAAGCCAGCATTATCTTTATGAAAAATCAGGATCTAGAGAGAGTTGAACAACTTTGGTGAGGTTAAGTGTGTGCTGCCAGGGCTCTCCAAATCAAGAAAACAAAACTGACATACATTCTACCTTTGGCTACCCCTTGATACTTGATATTAAAATGCCTTATAATACATAGAACAATACAAATAATATGTTAATTAACAAAATAGAAGCCCATATCAAACACCTCCAATTTAAAGTATATACTATGCTGGGCATGACTCTGTGAGTTTAAGGCCAACCTAATCTATATAGTGAATGAATTCTTGGGCGGCCCTAGAGATATATAGAGACCCTGCCTCAAAAACAAAAACAAACAGGCAAACAAACAAATGGTAAATACTATGAGGGGCTACAAAGGTCACTCAGTGGTTAAGAGTGTCTGCTGCCCTTCCAGAGGATCCAAGGTAGTTAGCTTCCCTGTCACCACTTCACACAGCTCACAACCACGTGCAACTCCAGCTCTAGGGTATCCAACACTTCAGGATACTTAGATTCTCATTCTCTCTCTCTCTCTCTCTCTCCACACACACAACCATACAAAGACACACACATATACACATAAATTGTAAAAAATAAAGCAAAAAATACTAAATACTGAGATCTCAAAACTGTCTGAAGCTTTAACAGAATATGTCAGCTGAACTTTTTTGTAAAAAGAAATTTTGCCAAAATTATGCCAGTTTGCTGGTAAAAATCCATCACTGGTAGGAAGTGAATTAAGATAATTTCACTTTAAATTGGTACTTAAAAAGCTCTTTGGTGACCTGCAGTAGTGCACACGGGAATGTCAGCACTTGGGAGGCAGAGGCAGGCAGACTTACGTGAGTTCAGGCCAGCCTAGTCTATACAGCCAATTCCAGGACAGCCTGCTTACATAGTAAAACCCTGTTTCAAAAACAAAACCCAACTAAACAATCCTTCTTAAAAAAAGGATTTCCTAACTGCTCCAAACCCCGAAATAACAGCCTCTTCTACATACTCCAAAAGACAGTATAATATATGCCTACAAGTTGCACTTTGAGGCTCGGTTGTTGTTGTTCTTTAAACGCCCTCAATACACAAGCTCTATAAAGTTAAGAATTATCTGCCACTCCAAAGTTTTGCCAATATTTAACACATAAGGAACTATGAGCTAAATTTTTAAATTTTTCCATCCAAGATATTTGCCTATTTCCTATCCCTAAAAAAAGCTATTCTAGAACAATACATTGTCTTTAATAAAAATCAACCAGTAGTCTTCTAACAAGTACTTTCAATTACTCGGCCTGCATCTAATGGAAACTAGACTTAAGGAAGCTTCCTGTTACATGAACATGTCTGTATAACACAAAAGCATAAGTCAACTACAAAATGGTTTTGTTTTGTTTTGTTTCAGTTTACCTCAGTTCTTTAATAGAAAACAAAATGATAATTATCGAATTCTCCATGGTAGAAAACAAAACAAAACAAAACAAAACCCAAAAGCTAGATCAAGGATAGGTCCTCCTACATATAAAACAATTATATAAGGCTGTTTCACAGTTTGCAGCCTAATGTATACTAGCATACATAAAACTCCAGAAAGGAATTCTAAGCAATTCGAAGTGAATAGAAGACAAGACTGGGACCAGGTATGATGGTGCACGCCTTTAACCCTAGCACTCAGAGAGGCAGGAAAGTCTCTGTGAGTTCGAGGCCAGCCTGGTCTACAGAGTGAGTTCCAAGACAGTCAAGGCTACACGGAGAAATCCTGTCTGGAAAAACAACAAAAGCAGCACTAGGAAATAAGCACTATCCTATGCGGGCTAATTTTAAGTGAGTAAAGTGATGCAGAAACAGCTACAAGCAGCATGTTGGTGGTTATAGATTGGTAAGACAACATATGAAGCAGCTTTGTAAAAGTAAACAGTCTCAGTTGATTTAGTAAATCAGACTTAGACCATTTTTAGCCTAAAGAAAATGAAATCATGTGTAGCGGTGCAGGCCTGAAATCCCAGCTGAGGCAGAAGAACCTTGAGGCTGGCCAGACCTATCTTAAGAGACAGATAGAGAAAAAATAACTAGGAGAGAGAGAAAAGCAAGACAAGAAATAGAAATGCTATTTCATTTAAAACAAACAAGAGCCTTGACTTTTTGTCTACTTATATGAAAGCCAGTTCATCACATTCAACAGTTAGTGTCTAAATATCCAGCACTGAGCCAGTAATCTGATGATTCCTAATGTGTATCATAGCACTGATCATTACCCATTAATGAATCACAGACACAATCTGCTAAAAGTTAAGTGGAAGACTATGTAAAACACCAAAGAACAACACACATATAAGGGAGAACGTAGTTTCCATTTTCCTGAAAATTCTGATTAAATTGTTAAAACACAAAAGAACAACACACATATAAGGGAGAATGTAGTTTCCATTTTCCTGAAAATTCTGATTAAATTGCAACAACACAAAACCCATTCCTATTTAAAAAAACAAACAAAACAAAACAAAACAAAAACTGATAGCTAAGCTATCCTTTTCTAAGCCCAGGCTACTACTTTCGCCTGCAAACACTGAGTAACTTAGGAACAATGCACTGCAATTACAAACCCAAGTATAGATTATTATAGCTTAAGCTCTAAATCGCACTGCTGACTCAACATCCACAACTCTGCTTGTAAACCTTTGCTTGTGAGACTCATTTAAACATGTGTGCCTCACTTTATCATTTGTAAAATGAGAATGGCAGTACCTGCCAAATTATAGGAAAAAAAAAAATATATATATATATATACACACACACACATATATATGCATATATATATATATATATATATATATATATATATATATAT